GAACTAAAACTAGACTGAACTTATGAAATTATGAACACATGTTCAAAGGCACATAAATTATGGCCATTTGTTATTTCTTCAAAAATCTAACTCACATTAAAATAAATTCCAGGCGTCATAAAAGTAGAGAAAATGAAGAAATCAATGGGTTACAAACTCCTCTAGGGGCGCTTTTGTAGCCTAAAAATTACATCAAACATCTCCTGCAATACTTTTGCATTCGCCGGTAAGATGGTTATCATCAAATAACCTTTATGTCCATTCTCTCTGAAAGAATAATCATGAAGCCTTGATAGGATAGTTGTTTCGGCCATCGGTAGAAATTTGCCCATGATGTTCGTGCATGCATACGGTTCATCGCGTCGATTCTTTCGTTTTAGAATTTGGGGAAAGTGTCATTGTTTTTGTTTAATTGTAATTATCCTTTATGAGCGACAAAAGTAGTCTAATTTTAAACCTCCGCTTCTGCGCTTCCTCCTTTCCCGGAGGTATTATTCCAAGCGACGCAGCATTAATCTGTGACGGAACAAATTTCGACGCATCTGGCAACAGGATCGACGGCACTAACACCTCCACTACGAAGAATATGAATCATGGGTTAATCTCTTGCAATCGTTTGGATGTCTTAAAGATCATGTCACCATTGTGTACTTTCTATTTTTAGATTCTTAACCTCGTGAGAAATGACTGTTTCACGCATCATAGCCCTAGAAATTTCCTCATACGGAAGTGAACATCAAAATCAACCGTTGACTTTTGGATGCTGCACTGTTATAGGGATGACGTAATTAAAGGGGAAATCCTATCAAATAGCCTGTATATTGTGAGTGCCACGTAAACCCAAGTGCAGAAGTGACTGGTGGCTGAAAAGGTAAGTCGTTTGTATAGAAAGGGAAACAGGTCACGACACCAATTTTACAAACATATCCACCATGTCCAAATTTCAGTCAAAAATTTAATAAGAAACTTGTTATTCTCGGTACCAAATGGTTTTAGCTGCCGAATTATTTTAGACAAGGAGTTGGGTTCGCCGATTTTGAATTTCTGTCGTTAATGTCATAGTTAGATTATAGAAGGGTCTGAGCTATCGACGAAAATTTGATTCTCTACCTAGAACTGGACTTTGAAAATTTTCGGTAATCTTCACAGTTTAAGTCTCTGACTCTTTTGGTGAATGTTTTCAAAATGTATTTTGGTGACGAGAGTGCTCTGCTGCAAGATTTGTGGCCATCAGAAAATTCGCATCGTCATCGATATTTCTAGCAAAGATTTCGCCGATTTCAGTTTTCGATCTAAATCCTTAAACTTCAGCAGTCTCTATTTTCCAGTGGCCTCTTCTTGTCTTTTGATTTCGTTTTCAGGAACCTTAGTGAAGAGCTAACATCAGAAAGTCTCGAAGCTGACGATCAGGGTAACTTCACGCTCTTCAAAGTTTGTATCTGGTAAATTTGTAATAGTTCCACTGATTTCACATTTATTCCATAGAAGCTAGTGTTCTTTAATCATAGAAAACTCTGGGAAAGGTAAGTGCTATGACACCTAAGCCTTTTATTTTTTCTTGCCTTAAAAACTTTTAGTCGTGAACTTAGGCATCGGAACCTTCCCAGACAGAGTGCAATATTTTTTTGTTCTGGAAAAATGTGATTATTAAGCGAATTTTCAAATGGGGGAATCCACCGAGTAAAACAAAGTCAAATTTACTTTCAGTATCGATATGCAAATTTGTCGTTACAAACAAATCCTCGAGTGGCGGAAACAAAAGAAAAAAGAACCCCTTCAAGACGAAACAGAAATACACATCATAAGAAAAATATAACATGTTGTCCACGAAGAGTTCTGTAATTTTCTCATTAAAAAGAATTCTGATGCGATCCTTGAGAGGCTTTCCGAATAGGACTTCCCATTGGCCACATTGCTTTCAAGGGGGAGGGGGTAGGGAGTTGGAAAAACTTTTGCAATTCAAATCATATCAGAGTGGTATTTATTTTTGGCAGAGTATTTAATAAACTGCAGGCAGTAAAGGCTTTCTGAAACCAAAGCTTTTTGAGGGTTGAGTTATTCCCAACGCGATCAGCACTAGTCCACAATTAACTCTTATAGCAATGCAGAGTTTTTGAACGAAATTAGCACAGGATTAGCGCTAATCAGTTAAAAAAACCGAAAATAGGAATTGATAAGATGATCTTGGGATTTCACCGCCAGTGTTTGTTTTTCATCAGTAATTATTTTTGAGAAAGTGATATTCAAACAATAATTACGCTCCCGCGCCCTCTACATCTCCTGACTTCCTTCTAGATTCTCAATAGAACATTCTTAGATTCCATCGTATCTTTTTTTAATACAATCTCGTTCTTTCCTCACTTTTTTTTTTAGAAAATAATAATACTGATTGAAGAACTTTCTCACGATACGTTCAAGCAACTGTGTCTCTCCTTAAATGAGGGACTCGGTACTGACTACAAAGCTCTAATGACGAAGTGCTTTCCCGACATTTATTCTCTGGTGGAGGCAACCGAGATCAAAAAGAGTAGGAGTCCAGCTGAAAAATTACTCCGCGACCTAATCAATAGGCAAATAACGGTGGAAAGGCTCCTAAGAGGCGTGGAAGGAATAGGAAACATAAAGGCCAGAAAAATTATAACGGAGGGTAGAGTATTTTGTTATGCCTCGTTTAAACAGAGTAATGAACGTTTTCTTTCATTTGCATATAATTTAGCCACGTGTGAATTTGAAGCCTTTTCTAGAAATAGGAATTTTTTCTAACCTTGGTCCAGCAAATATTGAGTTTGAGAATATTTACACAGATATCACGAAAAGAGGGAAAACGCTTAACTTGCCGGGGGATTATCAATTTTCTCCACGCCACTCCACTGGACAGCCACAAGAGGTATGCATATTGTCTAAATGTGTTTTATCTACACAATAACCGCTATAACGTTCTCAACACTTGTGTCGTAACAAAGCTGGAAAAGTTAAGTTTTGTCCTAGCTATCTTGGCTGGCAAATAACGAAGGATTTGGTAAATGATGAAACGGAAAAACAAGGCTCTACACTTTTAACATAACATAGCCATTTTAAAAGAGTATTTGCATTTAAGCTTAATGTTAGTGATAAATTCATACAACAACGACCACATACAAGAACATACTATCAAAGTGTAATAAAACGTCTAAAGTGGATGCAACCATGTGATCACCTGTGTTTATGTTTTGGCTTGTTCCCAATTTTTTGAGAGTAAGCCAATTCATAAACATCG